TACACACATACATAGGTACAAGCCATTGGCCAAGCCTCCTTCCCATGTTATCACACAGCACCCTCTTAAGGCAAATCATGACAATCCCTGCTTTGCAGACGGAGGGCAGCACATGGAGGCTGGAGTTGGGTTATGAGTTGTGTAAAGGTTAGAATGTTCACTGTCAAGCACTCCGTGGGTAACCAAGTAACCTCTTCAGAGCCTTCTCACTGCCACCGAAGCATTCCCACACCTCCCTGTATTGGCTGGTGTGTTGTCAAAGCATTGATTTTCTTTCCTCTCCTGAAGCATCTCCCGTCCTTCTGCTCCGTGATATCTCCAGAATTATAAAATACAGTTTCAGCATGGAATCCGGTCTGGAAGACAGCCCAGAGGACTTGAGCAGGAGCTGCCATGGCCTAGCACAGACGCACACGGTTGGACTCAGGTTCTAGACTATGTGGACCGGCTTGGGGAGGGTGGAGGAGGCACCCTTGTTGCTGCAATTGGATCTATAGCTGTTATCTAAAAGAAAGAGGTAGAGGCCAGGCGCGGTGGCTCATGCCTGTAATCCCATCACTTTGGGAGACCAAGGCAGGTGGATCACCTGAGGTCAGGAGTTCGAGACCAGCCTGGCCAACATGTGAAACCCTGTCTCTACTAAAAATACAAAAATTAGCCAGGTGCGGTGGCACATGCCTGTAATCCCAGCTACTCAGGAGGCTGAGGCAGTAGAATCACTTGAACCCAAGAGGCGGATGTTGCAGTGAGTGAGGATGGCGCCACTACACTCCAGCCTGGGTGACAGAATGAGACTCCGTCTCAAATAAAAAAAAAAGAAGGAGCTCACTTCAGGGTTGATTACTTTTTTTTAGGGGCTTATAACTTATAACAGTACCTTGTTACCATTTCCAACTTTTTTCCATTTGGATAGTAATACAAAAGCATAGCAATGTACATAACAATATGTGTCATATCAGTATGTATCAATAAATATCAATTCATAAAGCCAGTTCTAGCTAAGGGTTTGGTGCCCCCATATATTTTGACAACAGTTAGTATATGAAATGATAAGAGAACGGAAAAGGTGATAAAACTATGAAACTAAGTAACAAAATGTGAGAAAAGATACATTTTTTTTCTGGAAAAAAAAAAAAGCAAGCAGATATGTAACAGCCTTTGGATTATCCCTTTGGGAGCCACTATTATCAAGGTGGTACTTACTGTCCATCATTAGAAAAGGCAGCAGAGTATTAGGGGAAAGAATGGCCAACTCATCTCTGCAGCCCCAGTGCCCTAATAATGCCTAGCAGAATTAAGTCAGTGAACCTAATAGAAGGATGGATTCCTTACACCCCAAAGACTGAGAAGAATAACCAGGTTGAACACGAAACCTATGTGTAAAAACCAATTGTTAAGACTTATAGCCAGGCATGGTGGCTCGAGCCTGTAATCCCAGCACTTTGGGAGGCTAAGGCTGGAAAATTGCTTGAAGCCAGGAGTTTGAGACCAGCCTAGGCAACACAGTGAAACCCCCGTCCCTACAAAACAATTTTTTTTTAATTTAGCCAGGAATAGTGGCCCGTGCCATAGTCCCAGCTACATGGGAGGCCGAGAAGGGAAGATCACTTGAGCCCAGGATGCCAAAGCCAAAGTGAGCCAAGATCACACCACTGTACTCTAGTCTGAGCAACAGAGAGAGACTCTTTAAAATAACAATAATAATAATTACTACCAAAAAAAAAAAAAAAGGCAGGGCATGGTAGCTCACACCGGTAATCCCATTTTTGGAGACGGAGGCTGGCAGATCACTTGAGGTCAGTAGTTTGAGACCAGCCTGGCCAACATGATGAAATCCTGTCTCTACTTTAAAAATACAAAAATTAGCCAAGCATGGTGGCAGGCACTTGTAGTTCCAGCTACTCAGGAGGCTGAGGCATGAGAATTGCTTGGATCCTGGAAGGGGAGGTTGCAGTGAACTGAGATCACACCACTGCACTCCAGCCTGGGCAATAGAGCAAGACTCTATCATGAGAAAAGAAAAGAAAAGAAAAGTTTTCTACATGGAGTTTAGCTTTAGATATGTGCTTAAACATTTTTCATAAACAAGATTTGAGAATCAAAATATGTTATTTTAATTTACAAGGACATTATAAGTGTACCTTAATATGGTGCTGATAATGTGATAACAGTAAGGAAATATATAGAAAGTTGTGGAAATAAGTCAAGTCATAATGTCAGAGTGATTTTATCCCCTTGGGGAAAAAATGGAATAAAATATATGGCATCGTGGCATCATGTTTATATGGCAGCCCATATAAAAATATATTCAAAAACAACACATAAAGTGGCAAACTTTTACATTTATAAAATGCAAGATACATACAATATGTTTAATATCTTTAATAACTTGTTTTAAATATATTTGAATAGGTATTAAGTGTTAAGTACAGAAATATTTCACACAGTTCAAGGTTAGACTTCTCAGCCTTACCAGGGTCCTTGAGAACTTTGACCCAGAGCCACTCAGTAGCTGAGAGAGCAGTGGTGAAACTCATTCATTAAAACTCAGTTACATTACTTTTGAAGAGACATACTCACGTCATGTTGACTCTGACTTTAAATACAGTTCTAATAATCAGGGTTATCTGATTTCTTAGATGACGGCAAATGTGCTGTGTAGTTATAGAGATTGCTCATTAGATGGAAGAGGCGTATTGTACCCAAGCATAAATACAGGCCAGACAGTACTATTGTGGGTGGTAAATCATTAAGGCGGGATCTAATTATATTTCATATAGTCTACTTAAGGAACATGGAAAATATGAAATATATTTCTAAATGAATTTTTATTTTAAATGAGTAAAATAAACGTTTGACCTGGAGAGGTCAACTTTGCTTTTCTAGGGGGAAAAAAAAAAAAGGTCACACATGTTCAAGACCTCATTCCATAAGCATAACTCAAACATAGTGGGGGCTTTGTTACTATTTGCTGACTGAAAAGGGGATGCTTTTAACATCTTCTGGATGTTTTGAATTAATGCCTTTAAATACACACATCAAAATAAGCGAGTTGTTTCCTACTATTTTCAAATTTACACTCTCCGTTGTTCATTTTGTTTCTCTCCAGACCAGTCCAAGAGGAGGACTAAAGGGGGAACATGTGTCCCTCTCATTGCACCATTGCCGAGCTTTCTTCTCCAAATGGCACAACAGGCACGGCTCTCTGGTGTTAACGCTTTCAACTGCATAACTGATATCTCATATAGAAGTCATCTAGTACAGGCCAGGCGCAGTGGCTCATGCCTGTAATCTCAGCACTTTGGGAGGCTGAGGCAGGTGGATCACCTGAAGTCACGAGTTTGAGAACAGCCTGGCCAACGTGTTGAAACCCCGTCTCTACCAAAAATACAAAAATTAGCCGGGCGTGGTGGCATGTGCCTGTAATCCCCGCTAGTCGGGAGGCTGAGGCAGGAGAATCACTTGAACCCGGGAGGCAGAGGTTGCAGTGAACCAAGATCATTCCAGCCTGGGCAACAGAGCAAGATTCCATAACAGAAAAAAACAAAAACAAAAAAAAAACAAAAAACACGTCATTTGATACATCAGGTGCTTCACAGGTTGACTTTTCCATTCTACTTCTGTCCACTCCGCATCGTCACTTCTCCAATCTATAGATGAGAACAAAAGAGTTACAGAGGGAACTAGTACAGAAAACAAAATGAGTGGGGCAGCAGAGATTAATCTAGATCTGGTCTACATCTGCCTGACATAAAGTCCAGATATCTAAACACAGATCTGCGGAAAAAGGTGTCTTTTATCTCTACAGAAATTACACTAATTCACCAATGTGCATATCTAGCTCAACCAGGCCTTTATTTATGAATTGGAAAACTGGTTTTCAAATAGTTTCCCTTTCATAACTCAAAACTCAGTATTTTTGAGTAAGGTCTTCTAACCTTTACTCCATCTTAAATTTTTGAATTCTGATGGGTACGTTATTTAAATTATTACTGTTGTTTCTCTCTAAGAATTTTTAGCGTCTTTTTAAAAAGTAGGTATTTATCATTTAAGTCAATATCTACAAAATCCCATCCCACTTTCATACCTTACTCTGTGCCCTTTCACTATGATAATCACACACTATGATAAAGGCTCCATTAATAAAAGAATATGTTTCAACAACATACATTATTATAAGAATCTTTAGTACCAACAGTAGAAATAAGATGCATAAAGGTACACTCAAGGATATTAGAAGAGCTACTGTATAGAATATTAACACTGAACAGGGAAAATAGCCTGAGGAAGGGAAGGGCGAGTACAGTCAGAATCAATAGTCCAAAAATAAGAAATGTCTAAAGAAAAGCAACAAGTGGGTTATCCACCAAGAAAAGAAAAAGACATAGGCAAAGGCGATGACGTGGGAAACAAGCTTTGCCAATTTCAGAAACAAGAGTATTTCCTTTCCTGTTGCACAGAGGGGATTCACTGTATATAGCCACAAACCTGTCCCACTGGGGAGGAATTTGGCCTTCAAACCAGATGACGCCAGTAATGCCTCCCTCGCTATATGAGACGTGTTTGGTTTTTCTGTAAACACAACCAGAAAATATTCTAGTCAAATTCATCCAACAGTAAGTTAGGCAGTTACTGTGTGCCCAGTACAGTGGGAACCACACAAATGACTAAGCATAGTCTTTATCAAGAAACCTCAAATCTAGTAGAAAAGACTGAAAATATAGGGATTAAAAGTAGAAAAAAGATCCCTGAATTGTCCATAGATGGTTTCATGTTAGAAGTGGCGCTTTTTTTCTGAGACAGAGTCTCATTCTGTCACCCAGGATGGAGTACAGTGGCGTAGTCTCGGCTCACTGCAACCTCTGCCTCCAGGGTTAAAGTGATTCCCCAGGCTCAGCCTCCCAAATAACTAAGATTACAGGTACCCACTACCACGTCCCGCTAATTTTTGTATTTTTAGTAGAGATGGAGTTTCGCCATGTTGGCCAGGCTGGTCTCGAACTCCTGACCTCAAGTGATTCGCTAGCCTCGACCTCCCAAAATGCTGGGATTATAGGCATGAGCCACGGCACCCTGCCAGAAGTGGCTTTGGAGAGAGATCTTGAAAGGTGAGTAGGATTTGGATGGGCAGAGAAAATAGGAGGTGGTCCCCAAGAAGTAACTGAAGCAGAGATGGGGAAGTGCTAGGCATGTCCTGATCAAAAGGACAGGATCCAAAATAACCAGAACATGGGGGACATTTAAAAAGAAAGGCAAGATTCTAAAAGTATTCTGAGTCTTGATATGGGGGACTTTGAATGCCAGAAAAATATTATTATGCCAGAAAAATTTTATTATATGAATTTTAGTAGGGTGCAAATATGTGGATGTGAGCAGACAGTGTTAGTTGCTTAATCATCATTCTTTCTTGCTCTGAAAAATATTATTATGCCAGAAAAATTTTATTATATGAATTTTAGTAGGGTGCAAATATGTGGATGTGAGCAGACAGTGTTAGTTGCTTAATCATCATTCTTTCTTTCTTGCTGGCAGAGCCCTAATTTTGCTCAGAGCCCATCTCCATGAGGCTCTAAAAGGGAGAATCAACACTTCCCCAGCTCTGAGTAGGGCTAGGGAAATAAATTACGATTGGTTAAAGGCAACAGGGAAAACCAATGGTGAAAGTGGCTAAGCCTTGATGGAATCTGTGGGATATCTCAGAGGAAAGACCCAGTTATCAACTGGAAATAGAGATCTAGAACTCAGGGTAGGCTAGAGCTAGAGATCTAGAAAGAATGGAGGTCCTCCATGTACAAAAATATAATTGTTTAAACAATTAGAATGAAAAGACCAACTAGAGAGAGATGATCCAGTGAAAGGTGGTGGCCGAGAGCACAATCCAGGGAGCATTCAAGTTGGTCCCCAACTTTTTTGGCACCAGGGACAGGTTTCATGGAAGACAAGTTTTCCATGGACCACAGGGGCAGGGGTAGTTTTGAGATGATGTAAGCACTTTACATTTATTGTGCACTTTATTTCTACTATTATTACATTGTAACATGTAATGAAATAATCATACAACTCACCATAATGTAGAATCAGTGGGAGCCCTGAGCTTGTCTTCCCGTGACTAGATGGTCCCATCTGAGGGTGATGAGAGACAGTGACAGATCATCAGGCATTAGGTTCTCATAAGGAGCACGAAGCTTAGATCCCTCACATGCACATCACAACAGGGTTTGAGATCCTATGAGAATCTAATGCTGCTGTTGATCTGACAGGAGGCAGAGCTCAGGTGGTAATGTGAGCAGTGGGGAATGGCTGTAAATACAGATGAAGCATTGCTCACTGGCCCGCCACTCACTTCCTGCTGTGCAGTCCAGTTCCTAACAGGTCACAGACCAATATTCATCCATGGCCTGGAGATTGGATACCCCTACATTAGAGGATTCTGTGAAGGACACTGGGAAGGAATGACGGGGAAGCCAGAACCAGTAAGGGAGATGTCTCAGTGGTCAGAGAGTTTCCAGAGGTAGGTAATGGTTCCATGTATACAATTCTGAGGACGGGCGCGGTGGCTCACGTCTGTAATCCCAGCACTTTGGGAGGCCAAGGCGGGTGGATCACGAGGTCAGGAGATTGAGACCATCCTGGCCAATATGATGAAACCCCATCTCTACTAAAATACAAAAAAATTAGCCAGACGTGGTACCATGTGCCTGTAGTCCCAGCTATTCAGGAGGCTGAGGCAGGGGAATCGCTTGAACCCTGAAGGCAAAGATTGCACTGAGCTGAGATCACGCCACTGCACTCCAACCTGGCAACAGTGCAAGACTCCACTTCAAAAATAATAATAATAATAATAAAATTCTATAGTATCCATTGAGTTTGTCAAGAAGTATCTTTAGTTATATGAGCCCTCGTCAGCATTTCAAAAACCCAACAGAGGAGGCATATTTACTCACAATGCTACTGAAAAGGTTAAGTAAATATTAAAGTTTCTCTTTTTTTTTCTTTACTAGAATCATATAAAATCTATGTGCTTACACTGACATTTTATAATCAGCCTATGCTGATTCACGGTTGACATCACAGGACACTGTGGAATGTGAATGGGGACCCAGTCACTGTGCACAAAGTGTCCAGCATACCATCAGTTTTTTGGCCTAGAAACCAACCCAGAATTAAGCAGCCAGAGGCAGTGAACAGTGCATAGGTATCTGTATATTAACCTATTCTGATTGTCTTTTAGCATCGCAACCCTCAGATATCAGGTAAACTTATTATACTTCAATGTTGGTAAATATTTGGTTACAATATGGATGGATCAGAGATGGAATAGAAAAATAATGTAATAAAAATGGGAAAAAAAATCATGGGCCCTACTTTTCCTAGTCCTGCAGTTATAGACTCTCAAGACTTTTAACCTGCAGTCAGCCAGGATGGAGACCTGAGTCCGTCCTAAGCAAATATGGCGCCCTCTGTTAGAAACCACAGCCTGTTCACGGAGCATGATGGGCTCGCCCTGTCTGGACCTGCCTAGAGTGTCTGCCTGCCACTAGTTGCTCCCTCTTGCAATAATACCTTTGTTTTACAGGGAGTTTTAATGGTTGGACATGGTTTTCTGCAGATGTGAGTCCCGCTCTGGTAACAAACTCTGCTTTGAAGTCCAGACTATCTGACCTATACCTTGACCCCTTCTTGCTTTTTTTTTTCCACGTCACTTTCCTCCACCTCCAATACTCTAACTTTGCTCCCTAACCCTTCTCTGACCTTGAGAGAGGTCAGAGATACTAAAAATAACTAAATAATAACTAATACTAAAAAATTAGTATAGACCTCAGCAACCTGAAAAATAGTACCTCTGCACCCAAACTCCTGTTGCTCACTCCCACTCATCCTTAAACAATACGGCAACATCACTCAAACCACAGCGTTCTATATTCTTTTAGGCATGTAGGTGGGACTACTAGTCAACTCTAAGAAGGGCCAACCCTAAGAAGGGCCAACCCTTCTTCCCAGTTAGTTCAAATAATAATAGCAGTAATAATCGTTATCATCATCATCATCATCATCATCATCATATTACTATTGTAGCTTGACTTTCACCACGTTCCAGGCACTGTTCTAAGCCAGGGGTCCCCAAGCCCCAGGCTGCAAACCAGTACCAGTCCATGGCCTGTTAGGAACTGGGCCGCGCAGCAGGTAAGTGAGCATGACTGCCTGAACTCCGCCTCCTGTCAGATCGGCGGTGGCATTAGATTCTCACAGGAGCACGAACCCTATCGTGAATTGCATACGCATGGGATCTAGGTTGAGCACTGTTTATGAGAATCTAACTAATGTCTAATAATCTGAGGGAGAAAGGTTTCATTCCCTACCCCCGTCCCGTGAAAATATTGTCTTCCACGAAACCAGTCCCTGGTGCCAAAAAGGTTGGGAACCGCTGCTCTAAGCCATCAATATACTCATATACTTGCTACAACCCTATAGAGAAACTGAGGCTTAAGGAGGTTATAGAACATTCCCAAGGTCATACAGCTAGTAAGCCATGATGTCAGGATTCAAACTCAGGCCAATCTTCTCTCTCATGGACACAACTCTGGGGTTCCTATACCTTACAGTCTGAGACAAAAGAGGTAACTAATAATATTTTTCAAAACATCCTATTTACAGGGCAGAAACAATAAAAATAGGTTCTTTGTAGGAAAGAATAATAGGAGGAAAATAGGAGGAAACCACTGCTCTCTACTACTTCCTCTAAGAACAAGGTAAATTCAGAATTGGAATTTGCCTACCAGACTCCCAGTCCAGTGCTCCTTTGTTGTGCTATGTGTGGTCAGAAGAGTGAGGAAGTATCACAATGGAAACTCCGACAAGATGACTGCTTCAGTCATTTGCTTCCTTCTTTAGTCATATCATACCACGTTTTGCACTCTCATTGGGATGATAATTAGAGCCATCTGTGTACTCTCATTTTATTAAGGCAATAACTAGAGTCATACCAACAGTGTTCACAGAACTAAAATAAAGAAGCTTTTTTGTTTGTTTCTTTTCCTTTTCATAGAACAGATACTTCTCCTTCCTTTTTTTTTTTCTTTTTTACTAGCATCTTGGAAGACAACCAGTCCCAGAACCTATAAACAGTGCTTCCCTTCAGATGCGGCTTTTATCCTGATTGGTCAGAGAAAGATAGACTGTTCCCTTGCTGATAAAGGGCTTTTTGAAGACTTTTACATAACTTCTGCAATGCACTGGAAAATAACACCCAGGAAAAGGCTGGGTGTTGGGGGTGGATAATAAACTCTTACTGCTGTATGAAAAGCTACATTTTTCAGAGTAATATGGTGATTACAGATAAAAAAAAATAAATTTTAATAATACCACAATGCAGAGTCATCAAATAATTGGACATTGCTCCAGTAACTTCTGGGAGAATTTGCACCTGTTGCCTCTTTCCCCAAGGATGGAAGAGGTTGCCAGAACCAACTCCTCCTGCGAGGGTTACCTGAAGCTCGCGTAAGCATCAGCATTGGCTAGGTCATCGTCTCTTCCAGTTCTGCCACCAACCAACTCGTTCCAAGAAAATGTGGGAAATAATGCCTTATCTTTAAGTAAGTCAGAAGCTGTCACACTTACAAAGAAAAATGTTTTCTGGTCAGGGTTCCCTGTGGGCATGTCCTTGCAGATGCCTTGCTGCAGCTCTGAATTTCTGGTTACAATTAACTGGCGATGAACTGAAGCTATGCTAGTTTAGATTAGGGGTTTTGAAAAAGCCTACTTGTATAGTAACAGCATACCTAGTCTTAGCTTTTAGGTTCTCTTTCTTCAAAGGGAACATTCAGAGCCAGATAGAGGCAGAGGTCTGCCAGGCAGCTTCTTAGAGCAACAATCTATAGGAGGAAACTATAAGGGGGAACTCACATAACACTAAAGTAAACTGGAAATACAGCCTCAGCTATCCTGAGTAAAATGTAATTGTCTCAATACTCTTGAAATATCTATTTTGGAGTTGGAAGACAAACACCACCCCACCACACACACGCATGCACGCACACACACAAACAGATACTCTTGAGTATTTTGGCAATGTATACATGCTAAATAGTAATTTGTTGTCTTTAACTGAAATTCTAAAACCAAATAACGCATGGCATAATACTTAAGAGAAATGAGTGATTTTTTTATTATCCAAAATGTTAAACCCTTTAATATACCTCCCAAGGGTTGTCTGGTTCAGAAACTCACAAAAGTAAATGGAAGTGCAAACTAGAACTGCTGAAAAAAATGGAAAACAAATTTAAACATCATGAGCCAATGAAGTAAATTAAGTGACTCTAACTCTATGTAATGTTCATTACCAGAAATTATTTTCCCACTCCTACTAAATAAATGTTAAGTAATTATTTAAATGATATAAATTATGTTACATTACTAACTTGCTTGGAGTGCTCACATGAAAGTCTTAATTACTCATACTTTCTCACCACCAAAAAAAGAAAGAAAGAAATAAGTTGCAGGGGTTGGGGGTTAAGAAAGGAAAGGAGGGAGAGAGGGAAGAAAATAATTGATTTCTGCCATTTTGGAAAACAGATTGGCAGCTTCTTAAGAAGTTAAACACGTATCAGCCGGGAGCGGTGGCTCATGCCTGTAATCCCAGCACTTTGGGAGGTCAGGGCGGGTGGATCATCTGAGGTCAAGAGTTTGAGACCAGTCTGGCCAAAATGGCGAAACTCTATCTCTACTAAAAATACAAAAATTAGCCGGGCGTGGTGGTGGGTGCCTATAATACCAGCTACTCGGGAAGCTGAGGCAGGAAGAATCCCTTGAATCTGGGGGAGACAGACGTTGCAGTGAGCCAAGCTCGCACCACTCGACTCCAGCCTGGGCAACAGAGTGAGACTCTGTCTCAAAAAAGAAAAAGAAAAAAAGTTAAACACATATCAACCATATGATCCAGCCATTCTACTCCCAGGTATTTACCTAAGAGAAAGGGAAACACATATCAATACAAAAATTTAAACACAAATGTTCATTGTGAGGTAAGAGGAAGGGCTTGACTCAGGAGGGGGACTTGACTACAGAAATAGGGCTTGGACACTGGACTGAGTTGAGGACCAGCTAAAACACAGAATGAGGCAGAAGCAGCTTTCCATTAGACACAGCCACTAGTGTGTTATGTCAGTTTACCATCGTCATGGCAACACCCGGAAGTTACCACCCCCTTCCATGGCAACAATCCAACGGCCCAGAAGTTACAACTCATTTTCTAAAAATTGCTGCATAATCCATCCTTCAATTTGCATGTCATTAAAAGTAGATATAAATGTGAGTGCAGACCTGCCTCTGGGCTGCTACTCTGGTCACATTGCCTATGGGGTATCCCTGTTCCACAAGGAGCTGTATATTTGCGACTGCCGTACACCGCCATTTCAATAAAAGTTGTTGTCTAGCACCACTGCCTTGCCCACTCTTGAACACTTTCCTGTGTGAAGCCAAGAACCCTCCCGGGCTAAGCCCCAGTATTGGGATTTGCCTGCCCTGCATCATGAGCAGTATTATTTGTAATAGGCAAAAACTACACAACCCAAATATCCTTAGCAGGTAAAAAAACTGTGGCATATTCATAAAATGGGATACTACTCAATCAAAAAAATGGAACGAACTACTCAGATGCTCAGCAACACGGATGAGTCACAAAATCATTATGCTGAGAAAAAGAAACATCAAAAAACTCACATATTGTATGATTTCATTTATACAAAATTCTAAAAAAAAGCAAAGTAACATAGTGACAGAAAGGCGATTAGTGGTTACCTGGGTATGGGGTACATGAGAAGGACTGGAAGGAAATAATTACCAAGGGAAATTACTGGAAAACTTTTTGAGAAGATGGATATGTTCACAGTCTTGATTGTGGTATGGTTTCACTGGGGTATACATATGTTGAAGCTTAGCAAATTACATATGCTAAAGTGTGCCAATTTTTTATATGTTAATTATACCTCTCTACAACTATTTTTAAATTAATTTTTAAATTTAAAAAACAGGCCTCTGCATTTGAAAGAACATGTTCTCTATCTTGCTTTCAGTAAAAATCAGGAAGAACCTTTGGAGACCAAATTAAGTGATCCTGATCTTTTCTTTCAATGACTCAAACAGTGGTTCTCCAAATTTAGTACGCATGAGAGTATCTGAGATGTTAATTTGAAACGCAGTTTCCAGGGTTTTATATAGAGGTATGCTAGAAAATATTACTGATAAAAGAATATGTAGCATCTAATTTACAAGTAATAATGCATCCAATATTCTTCATTGTAAATTTCGTAATTTTTTTTTTTTTTTTTTTTTTTTTTTTTTGAGATTTGCGCTGTCCAGCTGGATGCAGTGGATCCAGTCATGCAATCGCTCCGGTTCACGCATTCTGCTCACTCCATACTGGCTACGGTGCACCTTTTTTGTATTCTAGTAACGTTTCACGTTAAGATGCCGATCTCCTACTGTGATCGCATCCGCTCCAAGTGCTTACACTGAGCCCCCTGCATTTTTTCGTGCTTTTTTTTGCTAAACTCTTGTATCTGTAGTCATTCTGTGGTTGCAACAGATGAACATGTATAGTTCCAACTGAATGCTGGGTAACAGTTTTGTTCACTCAGGTGAAAGGATTTCTTGAGGCCAGGAGTTCAAGATCAGCCTAGGCAACATAGCAAGGCCCTGTCTCTAAAAAAATTTTTTTTTTTTAATTTCACCAGGCACCATGGAATACACCTGTAGTCCTAGCTATTCAGGAGGCTGAGGCAGCAGGATAGCTACAGTCTAGGAGCTTGAGGTTACTAAGTTCATGCTGCTGCACTCCAGTCTGGATGACAGAGCAAGACCTCATCTCTTAAATAATAATAATAATTTTGTTTACATTAATGAGTAAAAATGAAACATCATTTCTTAATCTCACATGATTAATGATGTGAGAGACTTCTTTGCTGAACCAGAAGATGGTTTTTGAAGATTAGGAGAATATTTCCTTAGTTTTACATTATTCATCATGTAATGACCACAGGCATGACACACTTTAAGTTTAATCTACATTATTAACATTTATTTCATCATTGTCTACATAATCAACAAAGCAATAAATCAAGCCTGGTTGTATTTGACAATTCCCATGGTGTAAATATTCCCACATGGCCAATTTCAAGCTCCCAGTGCATGTGAGGTTGGGAAGAGATGCACAGTAGCACACCAGTATACAGTATCTCCACCACATGGATGTAATAGACATAACCTCAAGAGCATGGATAATAGCAAAGGGTAGTAAAGTCAATAGGAAGGGATGAGTTTTGAATACTTATTATCTTCGTTTTTAACGTAATTTATGTAATTGTGAGCTTCTACAATTTAATTTGTAATGATTTTTAGTAATGAGCTCATAAAATTCTTTGAAATTTAATAGTTGGCTCTCAGGAACTGATATAAATTGGCTCTAACACACTGCTGGCTTCAGCTCGGCCCTAAGAAATTACGTCCTTTGGGGATGGGGCTCAGGAACCTGCATTTCTCATATCCTCTAAGATGATCCTGATATACAATACTGGTGGAGAATCTAACTGCAATTTTCTTTTTAGCTAGTGTTATGATTTGAACATTTGTATTTCCCCAAAAAATCCTGTATTGAAACATGATCCCCAGTGTGATGGCATTAAGAGATGTGGCACCCAAAGGGAAGGTGATTAGGTCATGAGGGCAGGGCCCTCATGAATGAATAAAATTAGTGCCTTTATAAAAGAGGTCAAGGGAGTTAGTTTGCCCCTTTCCCCATGCGAGGACACCTCTAGAAGGTACCATCTATGAACCAAAAAGCTGGCCCTCACCAGACACCAAATCTGCTGACACTTCCATCTTGGAATTAACAGTACCCAGAATTGTGAGAAATAAGTTTGTGTTGTTTGTAAGCCACCCAGTTTATGGATGTTCTTATAGCAGCCTGAACAGTCTAAGACAGTTAGTAAATAGATATTCTTCAGAGCCAACATGTTGTGTGGAAAGAATACAGGATTAAGTATTAGGAACACTAACGTTCTCGATCCAGTTCTTCCACTTAATTATATGGCCTTGGGCAAGTTACTAACCTTCTTAGTTTCCTAATTTAATAAGGAGGAAGTAGGACAAAGAAAAAGTTAGTAGATGTAATTTTAAAACATTTACTTATATACTGAAGTATTTGTAGGTATAATGACCTGGTACCTGTTATCTGGTGGCTATTTCTTTAGAATGCTTCGGGAAACAAAAGGAAAAAAAAAGGCGGGCTGGAGATAAGTGAAAAGATTGGCAAAATGTTTTGATAATGAGAACATGGGTTCTATTATACCATTCCCTTTACTTTTG